ACCTGGCAAAACAGGCAGGTAAAATTGAAGTTTCGGTCATCCAGCGAATTTTAAGTTTTGGAATCGGTAGTTTAGACAATTCAGACACCTATCTTCTATAACGTTTGTCGGAAATTTACATATTTAAAGCAGTTTAGCCGATACAATTACCAACAATATTACTTGTTTAAAGTGGGCAGGGTTTTGAAGTAGGGGGAAAATGTGGGAAAAAAATTAAATAAATAAATAAAACTTCTGAAAACCTTACCTAACATTTCCTAACCCTTTAAAGTTTACCTTATTCAAGTTTTTGGTGTTTAGTAGGTGATGGTGTTATTTACGTCTTTAGTATGTGGTGGTGGTGGTGTTCAGATGAGAAGAGATCCATGAACTCAAAAGAGATTCTTAACATTTTTAAGAAACGTTAGGTAAGGTTTTCAAAGGTTTGTTTGGTGTTATTTTTATTATTTTACCCTACATTTTCCCTCTACTTCAAAGCCCTGCCCACTTTTAACAAATTATATTATTGGTAATTTTATTGGTTAAAATACTCAAAGAATATACATTTCCAATGGAACTGCTATAAAAAAGTCTTCTAATTGTCTAAACTACTTACTCCAAAACTTAAAATCCTTAAATGTACTGGATGACAAAAATGATAAGAATACCAGCAAATTCTGCCAATCAAATACTGTACTGTAGGTACTGTACATCTTGCACTATTAATTCAGGTTGCATATGATAATTGTTACAAGCCATGCAATGACTTAAAGCCTTTGACTTCTATTATATTTAATAACCACTTTAATCAAGACATTTCTGCAGTCAACAAAACATGAGAAGACTATCCTGATTATACAAGGGTGGTTAAAAGTAAGTTTTAGAGATTCTTATTTTATTTGTTCTAACCATACAAATATGGAAGTATCTGCTTGAGTGTATGCCTTTAACAATTCTCATAACTATGAGTGGTTCAATAGCCAATACAGTACAGTATATAGTACTGTAAAGGGTAAAATACTTGATATGATTGCAATCAGTTATAAGAAACTACATCTAAAAGAACTGCATCATAACTGCAAAAGTAAACCTTAAAAAAAAAATCTTAAGTTCATCTTCATTGCACTATCACTACTCACTGCACTGTCAACACTATCACTCACTTCACTGTCTTGCTGCACCATCACTACTGTCACTGCACTGTCTTCTTGCACTAACACCATTCACTGCACTTTATACACTATCACCACACTGTCTCACTTCACTGGCACTAAATTCCACGAGTCACATAACACACCCACTATTACACCGCAGAAAAAATTACACTAGAACTGGACAATCCTATTAACTTCACTTCACTCACTTGGAGGTGAAAACACTGCACTTTTCACAAACACCTTATAATAACAATGAACTGTACAACACTTTTCAGTAATTAATAATTTTCATGTAGTGCTAGTTTACACGCATTATTTATCAACTGGAAGAACTTTAGAAACACTATTCACTTGAACTCATTTTATCATATTACATCTTTTAGATCAATGTGGTGAATATCTTTCAAGGTAAATACGCACCTCCAGATTACAGTAAGGTATATGAAAGAAGCACTGGTGTTAGTTAACGTTTCAAATACTCCACTTCACTTCACTTTCTGTTGAAAGAATCACCTGGATGATGAATTCGCTCATAACTGAAATGAGATTTAAGTTAAAGCCAACTTCCATGTGATTTTCCACAGTTGCGTATATTGTATATACAGTACTGTACAGCATATACAACGGTATATATATATATATGTATATATATATATATATATATATATATATATATATATATATATATATATATATATATATATATATATATATATATATATATATATATATATATATATATATATATATATATATACTGTATATATACCTATACGTATTTATATTTTTTTATGACAAGGCTAACTCAAGGAAATTTTCTTTTCCCAAAATAATCTACGAGCCAATTTTCTGCACTTCCCTTTAGCCAGTAAAAGATTTATTATTTTCCCAGGCAATAAATTACTTTAAAAAATTTCCCACCAATTGAAGTTTTATTATCCCCAGCACAGGTTAAAATTTCACTTTTCCCCAGCACCGATCACAATTGCACTTATGTACTGTATATTGTTTTAACACCACAAAATTCACCCACATCCCAGTTCACTGATTTGCATTCTGATATTTCTTTAGTGAATCATTTTAACCCACCAAAACTTGCTATATTAATGCCCTTAACCCACTTCACTTCTGCAGATTCTGCAAAATTCACTTTACCCACGAAGTTTGGTTTCCAAATAAATCACCCCATCGTTAGCACTATCAGATCACCAGAACACTTTAACGCACTGCTGCACTCCACTTATTTTAGTTTAAATCTACAAGATCATTTTAAATGGAAGCCCATTATCCACGAGGCAAATTTTTTAAAGCATGTTTCTTTCACGGCACTGTCCAATTTGAATTAATCACAACCACTATATCATCTGGAGCACTGTCACTGAATTTATGTTTATTGGAACTCTAATCCAACGTGCCAGTCTCGTACCTGCAAAACAGTGAGAGATCTAATATTAACGACACTCCCAAAGATCCCAAATTTGGTACTGAAATGCAGAGTTTTACGAAGAGGGGAAAAGTGTAATCCTTGATATAGCTGCACCAATTCCATTACCTACAGCCCAATTTTTTATATTTAAGGGAATAATGACACTTGATTAATGGCTTTAACAAAGTTATTTGAAAAAAGAAAAGAAAAAGTATATTAGATTTAACTTTCACATATAAAAATTCATTACAGTACTTCAATATTTGTTTAAAGGTTATTTTTGATCTTCATTGAAAATAAGAACACCAAATGGGCAATAGTAGATGCCATGTTTTCATCTAATGGCAAACAAAATTTACCTAACAACCTTGACCACAAAACTTATACAACTAGGAACATTAGGCTAGGTAGCTTGTACAGGTACTCCCCGACTTACGACGGGGATAGAGACTGACATCCAGGTCGTAAGTCGGAAATGCTTAAATAACACAGAAAATCGAAAATGGATGTCTCTTTTTCTTCTTAGCACCACAAAGCTTTCACTTTTAAGCTTGCCAGCCATTTGAAGTGAATTACAGATGGAAATTTTGTCTGTGTACTGACTTTGGGACTCAAAAATACGTAATTTGACCAAATTTTGGTACGACTGAGGCAGGTCGTAAGTGCAGGTGGACGTACTGTAAGTCGAGTAGGTCGCAAGTCGGGGAGTACCTGTAACCTGATACCATAAATGGTTTGGTATAAACAAACAAGGCATCCATTATCATTCAGGCCCACCCATGACACGTTTCTTAGTAAGTTTCACAAAAGATAAAAAATCATGATAACTTTAAAATGGTAAGGTGTCTTTTAGGATTACACCCCAAATTATTTGTTTTGAAAATTTCAGACATTTGGTATTTTAGTGCACATTATGCAAATACACTGTACAGTACAGTGATTGGGCAAGGGTAATACAAGAAACTTGCTTAAAAAGTAAACTACAACCTACGCAAATTAACAAAAACCAATTTGTTTAAACATCATTTTTGCCACTTATCAGCTTTTTAGCCATTTAGGCACTCTATCCAGTATTAGTACAGGAAGAAACGGGACCAAGAAACCTGTAATGTTTGGTAGGGTCATACTGGATAGCACCCTTCTCACTTGTGTCCGGCCTGAGGCTCAAACTCTTGCCATATTCGTGAATGTTACCGCTGTACCACCAACACCCCATGTCTTGAATTTAGCAGGAATGACCCCCTTAGTACCAGTACAGTGGTGCATTCCTGCTAAAAGAAAACCGCTACTGTATGTTGACCTCTGCTAATTTTCCAAAGCTCTAAGGGCATAGAGGATACAGCCTACTTGCTGATTCTTAAGTAAATTCCAAGTAATTTTTCTCCTTGCTCTCACACTGATTTGCATTCTGTGCCTTAAAACATACAATCTTCTGAAATTCCCAAAGAAAGAAATATAAGTTAAGAGTGCCTCCCTAATAGACTTACCTACAAAACTGTGAATATTTAGCTTTACTTTAAATGAAATAATCTAGTTGATATGCCTCATAATCCATTAAAGAAGTGTTATTATTTTCAAGATTCACTGAAATCCACTTCTGGCAACTCAAAATTCTAACCTAACCAAGTTAGTAGGTAAAGTAAGCCAATACTGTATTGTGGATAAGGGTAAGTTGAAATCTTGAATTTCAGGAGGCAAATTTGTAAAAATATTGAAATGAATGACAGTAACTTTTCTTCTGTAAAGTTTGATAGAAACTCAAAATTGTTCAAAAGAACATTGCATTTTTCTTTTATCAAGTAACTTTATGAAGCCGATGTCACTGTTCATAACTAATACCCCAATGAAATGTATGATTATTTAAGCCAATAAATATATTAACAACTAAATATTATTTGATATGAAATCTGATAATAATGAATGGCTTTTGAAGGAATCCAAAAATCAAAGAAGTTGAAATGATTTGCAAAATATTTAAGCAAAAATAATAATCTCTGGTGCAATGACAAAGGGATGATTTGAAGTTTTATTTACTCTGATAAAAAATGCACTTTGGATTATCTGCTGCACGTTGCAAATGAAAACAATCTTGTAGCTCCATGTGCCCACCCACCCCAAGTTACTTTCTAAACACTGTAGCACTTTAAATCACTATTTTTTCATGCCACTGCACTTTACACTTCACTAGTGTAGCAATGATGCTTCTTTCATAACACTCACAGAGTTCACTATGAAAACAAAACACTAAGAAAGAAAAATCCACTTCCTATAAGCACAACACTGGACTGAATGAAACAACTTCACTTGATGACACTGTAAAAGCACTGTTATCATGAGCACTGAACTAACTGCAAAAAGCAAAACTGCTTATCCATCACCACAAGCACGTACTTTAAGTCACTTCACTAAAAATCACTTCACAAAACTGAAAGTAGAATAAAAAAAAAAAAGCTTGAGGATATCCAGGGCAAATTTCACTTTCAACACTCACTAATATTCACCACACTGTAAAAAATGGGTTCACATGCACAAATAAACACTGATAATATTTCACTTGATATTTATATAAAATTAGCACTACACTTATGGCTGAAGATTGCACACATGAAGCAAAAATTTTCACTTAATTCATAGTTAACAAAATTTCCTCGTTGAAACATTAGCCTAAACAGCATTTTTTTGGCGTCTTTAAATTAACAGTTTAACTACACATCTGTTAAGTCACATTTCATTTGGAGTACAGTACAGTATATCAAACACAAAGTAAAACTTTCTAAGTGTAACCATGGAAAAACATTCCATGTGAATATTATCTACTAAACATAATTCACTATATATAAGGCAGTATTTGTTCAAGCACACGAATAAAACTGTAACTTGTCACTTAGCACAAATTACACTGGTAATTAACAATAATAGTTTCAATGTATTGTAACAATATTTACTGTAAGGTATATACTGTACTAGTTAAGTTTAAGCTGCTGTTCCACGCACAATGACAATAACTAAGTGATCATCTCTAGTGGTCTCCTCCGTCAGTCCTGGGGAGACGCGGTGTAAAAGGTCAAGTGAAAAAGCACATGGGGGGAATGCATAGAGCACACCTTGCATGCTTCCTTCCTTATTGCTAGCATTCAAGGTGATTACACCAGCAGCTTCTTTCTGTTTAAGATATGCTACTAGGTTCCGCAGAGGGCGTGTTTGGACAGCAGCTTCCTCAGGAGCTTGAGGTGCAGTAGTACTGGGTAAAGACAACAATATAGTAGCCGTAGAGGGTGCACTAATTCGTCGGCTGACATCATCAAGGCGTGACTGATCCAAACGAAGACGCTGAGTGATTCTAAGGAGTGGCCGTCCTTCTTCATCTTGCATCATCTCTGCCACTTCAGTGTCACCTTCAATGAGATGCATCTTTGTACCAAATGACGAATTTTTAAGAATAAGTGCCCCTTGCCAAGAAGTCTGTGTCTTTCGAGCAACATCTGCTAAGGCACGAGCACCACTTAAACCATTGGTGTCACCACCTTCTCCTGGTTCAGGACTTCTATTAGGGTGGTCTCCACCTTCAGATGTACCATCGTAGTCCCGGTAATCTCCCCGCTGGTAATCACCGTGGTATCCACCCCGATGTCCACCACGTCCACGTTCATGCCAACCACGGCCACGTCCACGGCCTCTTCCATATGCAGCACCATATTCAGTACCATATTCTTCATATCCACCACCACGGCCACCAGTGGCCCAGTCTTCACGATATTCACCTTCATATTCCTTTTTGAAACCAGGAGGGAAAGTCCCTGGAGGAGGGTTCACTTCAGCAAAATCAGTTCTTAGCCTTTTGTCAGGTCCACCTAATGGTGAGCCACGCATTTCCTTCACAGCTGCCTGTGCAGCATCAAGGCTTTCATACAATATATAAGCATGATTCTCACCCTTCACATACTCAATCTTTTTAATAGCACCAAACCGGTCAAATTCCTGTGTAAGCTGAGTTACTGACGTCCAATGTCCTAATCCACCAACCCAAACTCTTGTAGTGGGCATCACTTTACCATAACCAATCTTACACTGGAATTTACCAATATACTGCCCTGACAGTTCAATTTTAGCACGATGGGCCATATCCAAATTCTGAAACCTCACAAAGGCATAAGCATTACCAGTACCAGGTGGTGGCCGTTTAATGTCTATGTCATCCACAACACCGTACCGTCCAAAGATACGTCGCAGCTCTTCTTCACTTATGTTTATCTCGAGATTGCCAGCAAACAAAGTACGAGTTGCCAGTGGGTCCTCCTCAGGGGGTACATGATGTAAATAGTTAGGAAACTTGTCTCTTTTGCTGTCAATCATGCCGCCTCCACCGCCGCCACCACCGCCACCACCTCCTCCTCCGCCCCCTCCACCGCCGCCACCTCCTCCACCACCACCACCTCCACGACTGCCAAAATTGTGCTTAAATCCCCCACGCATCAGGGGACCATAATGCCCATGGGGCCCTCCACGTCCTCGGTGCTGCCGATACCCATAATCATCCTGTCGCATTGGGGGACCTTCACCATAATAATCACTGTGGGGTAGAGGAGGAGGCCTGCGGCGGTCAAACCTAGGTTCATAACGCTCCTCCAAGTCCGGACCTGGTGGACTTCTAGGCCTGTAACCACGATCATAGTCTGGTGGGCTACGAGACCGACCTCTGGGAGGCCCATAGTCCCTGGCTGCCTCATACATAGGTTCAACAACAACAGGTCTATCATAGAAGAGGATCCTAGGCTTGCTGTGCTTGGCTTCCCTCGCTTCCTCACTGCTTCTGAAGTAGACATAGGCCAGCCGCTCGTCCGCACCCAGTGAAACTTTAACACTCACGTCTCCAAACCTCTTAAACTCACGATACAGAGCTTCTCTTACCATCTCATCACTTGCCTTGGCATGGAGGTTGGAGACACACAGTACCTTGTACGAGGGTGGGGGAGGGCCGCGAGGGCCCCGGCCAAAATCATCCCGGTCAGAGCGGTGCAGAGGCTCGGGTGGGGGATAGCGACGCCCAGGACTGCCACCACGACTGCTGCGGCGTCCTTCATCCTCACTGCTGTCTTCGTAACGTCCAACACTCGATCTTGATCTCTTACTTGATGGAGACAAGTCTCTATCTGCTCCTCGTTTCATAGTTAAGTCGGCCCGGTATGGTCCTCACTCGTCTCTCAGTAGGGCCAGGAGACGCTGCACCAACACAACATGGGTGACGGTCCTCCTCCGCGAGTACGCCCTCATATAAATAATAATTCTAACATGTACTATCTCGTTTGAATAATAATATAATTTTATACAATGTACAAATCCTAACAAATCTACATATCGTTATGAGCAATCTGATTTACAAATTTAATGTAAATGTCGACTGTTTATGGAACTAGTTTTTTACGGCGGAAGAGTCAGTCCTGACAAGTTGTAAGGGACCGTACAGTTAAATCACACATCACACACCTGGACATATAGTAATATACACATACACATTCTGGGGGCCACCACATATTACAATATTTTATTTATTTGTTTATTCATTTGGATCATTTTTATTTTCATTCTTTAAAATTCATGTTTATCTATTCCATCACGTAAAACTATGTTCAGCAAGAAGCGTGATAGAAATTAGGCTAGCTACTCCTTGAAATTCATGAATACCTGGTTTTCCTATGAATCGTATATTTTTAATGAATGATATTGTTTGTGTTGCTAATAATATATTTAGAATTCCTGAACTCCCAGATGTTTAGGCTCGCTTCACTCGCCACCCCACCCTCTTGGGTAGTTATAATGAGGGGGGGCCTCCACAAAGAGGCTGCCCATGGGCCTCCACATTTCCATTGCAGATCTACATGATATACAGTATATATATATATATATATATATATATATATATATATATATATATATATATATATATATATATATATATATATATATATATATATATGTGTGTGTGTGTGTGAAAAAGCGCTTGGGAAATTATCCTATATATATATATATATATATATATATATATATATATATATATATATATATATATATATATATATATATATATATATATATATATATATATATATATATATATATATATATATATATATATATATATACTGTATATCATGTAGATCTGCAATGGAAATGTGGACAAGATAAATTTCGATAAAACCACACAGGAAAAGGGAAACACTGGAGCACTTAACTTTCGTCTTTATTCAAGACATCTTCAGAACCTTCCTTCTTCCCCTGATAAGTTAGGTCACATCTGTAAGGTGTTCCATTACAGCGCATGGTCCTTCCCATGGACTCTGCAGCTTCGGTGACTGACCCTTCTTCCGCAGAGGGTTATACAGCCAGACCTTATCACCGTCCTTGTAACAGACCTGGCTTGCTTTGACATCATGGTTGCACTTCATCACTTCACCCGAAAACTCCAGAGCTCCTCGAACTTAATGGTGGACCTCCGTCACCCTTTCTTGGAGGCTTTTGACGTATCTGGTGGTTTCTTCAGGAAGTTCGTCATCAGGTAGTCTTCCTGTCAGCAGGTCCACTGGCCGCAGTTCGTGACCCAGCATGTTTTGCCGGTGTGTATCCAGTTGACTCGTGGGCAGCCGACCGATATGCCATCAGCAGAGCAGGCAGCTTCTGGTCCCATTCTGTCTGCCTCTCAACACATTACTTAGCCAGTTCTTGTCCCAAGGTCCAATAAAACTTTCCTACCATTCCGTCTGACTGTGAGCCCGAAGTGGAGTGGTCTTAGTCTTCCTTATGCCCAACAGCTTACAGCACTCGCTGAACACAGCTGACTAAAAATTTCTGCCCTTGTCCGAGTGCAACTCGTGGGGCATACCAAACCGGCAGAAGTACTGGTCAACCAGCACCCTGGCAACAGTCGTAGTTTCCTGTTTTGGAAAGGCATAAGCTTCTGGCCACTTAGTGAAGTAATCCATGGCCACACAGATGTACCTATTCCCATCTGCAGTGAGTGGCAGAGGTCCTGCAATGTCCACTGCAACCCTCTCCAGTGGTGCACTTGCATGGTACAACTGCAGTGGGGCCCGCGTGTGTAGCTTAGGTCTCTTCTTGGCGCAGCAGACATCGCATGAACGGACCATTCTTCCACATCCTTGCGCATGCCAACCCAGTTAAACCTTTACCACAGGCAACTCAAGGTCTTCTTCACTCCCAGATGTCCACTGGTTGGATTGTTGTGCATCTCCCTCAGGATCTCTGACCTCATCTTCCGGGAAAGTACCGTCTGCTAGGACCTGTTGAGGCCATCAGTAGTCACCCACTGGCGCTGTAGCATCCCATTGCACCCAGTAGTTTTTAGTCGTCGGACTTGCTCCAGAGATTGTATCCCAGGCTGGCCGCACTGACCTCTGGTTCATACACTCGACCACAGGTCGGCACACCGCAGCTGGCTTCTTCATAGCTCCCTCTCTGTAGCTCGAGGTGTAAGAGCGCGATTTCCTTTCTTCATTTTTTTATCTTCCAGATTATTCTTTTCTGTTATTATTCTTCAATGCTTTATATATATACTTTATATTCTTGCTTATATTCTCTTGTAAGTAATTCTGATATTTCTCTGCTTATATTTTCCAAAATCTTTTCATATATTGTACTGTTCTGTATATTATATTTTCTGAATTTCAATGTCCTTACCTTGCTGAAGTATACTCTGTTTTATTATCTTCTAAACCACGGATTAGTCTGGGGAACCATGTTATTCTTAGTACAACACTTATTATACTTACAACGGTAGCCTGCCACCACCCAGACTTTTATTAGAATATAACATATCTTAAGGAAAGGTTAGGTAGTGTGGTAGAGAGTTTATAGGCACGAGAGTAAGTAGTATTTTCTGGGAACCAACGTTTAGAAGGAATAGAATGGTGATACTCGTAAATTACTAATTTAATATTTATTAACATAAGGAGTGAATAAGATGTTAATTAAATTCACTCAGACAGGATTGGACCTTTAGGTCTTTACCATTCAAAAAATAGATCGGCAATCACTTATTATTTCATAAAACCACTTCAATTACTAATTACTTCATCAAACAACTTCAAGAACTTATTATATCATTAAACAACTCCAATTACTTAGTACATCATTAAACAACTGTTGTATTATTTCTTTGACAAATAAGATACAGTAGTTATTACACACGGTCAGACCGGACTGGACCCTCAGGTCTTACTTTACAAATAACCAATTGCATCTTCAATTCTTGGTTACAACATTTAACAATCATTATATTATTTCATTGTCACTGCAAGTGGGTAATATGACACACTTGACACTATCCCGAATTAAAATATTCTTTATAACAACATGCTATTTCGGAGTGAATAACATGGCACATTAACTAGAATACAGTGGTTTGGTGGACTCAACTCTGATAACATCAATACCACTGGTAAGCCAACATTCATGGGTTCAATACTTAACCAGTGATAATTATATGTCTGCTAATTATCACCAATCATATGCACCAACATTAATACTTTGGCCCAAAAAACTGTAAGGAGTGCCCCAGGGTATATAACACTGGTGTCTCCACAAACAAATGAAGATTGCTGTTAGGGGTTGGTTGTACACTGACACATGGCGATTCGGTGAGGGAGTCCCGCCTCGTTCCCAGGGCGGAGTCTGCGGACTCCCACAGTTTAATCCTGCCGAATTAACGACATCGTCCCATACAGCTAACTGTTGTTGCAACTACCGACCCCGGCAGTTGCTGGGTTTCAGCTACACACACTCTGGGCCTGGAGATGCGTTGAGAAGAATCATGAGAGTCAATGTCTAACTTCAACTATACAAAACCTACGTTTGGCAACGATACAGACGATATTTGCGTTACTCGACTTATTTGGCGCAGGATATTTCACTATATTAAAACATGAACACTGATATTCACAAAAATCGACCAAGTTAAACTGACTTAACATGAAGGCGAGAAACAATCATTCACATACCTGGAGATGCGTTGAGGAAGAATCACGAGAGTGTGATTTTTCCTCATACATTCGTATATATGCAAGCCTGGGGCACTTCCGGCCCACGTATTCCTACCAGAAAGACTAATCTCACTAACAACAGACCTTCCATTCAAATTGGTCGCTATACACCTAGCTGTGACCGTCAGTGTCACAGATCAGGTGTACTGGGCACATCATTGGCACTCCTAAAACCCCCTTTAATTCATATTACGCTGCATAACATTCAAATGTACGGCGCTTGTAGGATCTCAGAAAACAGGGGTCATTGATAAAGACTAACTCACCTAATGAATGTTACGGAATCATGTGTTGTATTGGGCCCAGGTACGGGTTATATAATATTAATTGTATGTATTCATAGCATTAAGGAGAGACGTGTTTTTCCCATTCGTTTTACACTCAGGACCCCTCCCAGTAAGTCCTGCCTTCGAACACAGTTGTCAATACGTTTATTTCACTCTCTACTGACAAACTCAATTTTGAATTAGTCTGTGTAAATCAACTTTAGTTATTCGCCAGACCTGAGGGTCATCCTTGAATGAGTAACAGTTGGTTTGTTTGTTATTTCTGTCATTGCGTGAGTAGCGATCGCTGGCAACTCAGGGGTATATATACCACGGGACCGGGAAGAGAGACGTCCCCCGTCACGTCATCTCCCGTCTATCCCAGGTATGTTCTGTGTCCTCTAGCCATTCAGTTTGATTTAGTCAATATAGTGAATTATCAGTGTTCATCAGTGTTCATGCTTTAACAGTTGAATTGTCATTCACCCAATGTAAGAAGTAATATAACGCAAATGTCACTGTCGTTTCCAGGCGAGAGATTTGTTGTGATTGTGTTGTCATCATACTTCCCAGTCCCTTGTCCCCCGTCACGTCATCTCCCGTTTGTCCCCAGATCGAGGGTGGGCTTAATTGAAACCCCACCGGTCGTTCGGAACTGGTGGATCTTCAGCAGTGGTCAATATAGGAGCGATGGCGCTGATTCAGCATGATTAATCGGCTCCACTCTACCTCGTGGAGCTAGACCCCAGACTCGCCACGTGTCTGGCTTTAACCGACCACCACAGCGATCGTCAGTGTTACAGGCGCCAGTGTGATACCCTGGGATATGCCTTGAAGTTATATGTCCACAATGTTGTTGTATGGGTTTGGGGTAATTCTGGAATAAGTATCCCATGTTGGGTAGTGGAGCCCTGTTGTAATTTGCTGGTAGCAGTATTATCGTGTATGTTTTCATATAGGTAATGAAATGTATCACCGTAATACAGGTGCAATCTGACGTGTTGAGTGATATTGTAAGAAGGGTAACCAAAATCATCGTTGTTCTCCCGAGGAAGGCCAATTCACTTGTATTTTTTTGCAGTATGTTTTATAAGCAATAAATTAGTTAAGACATGTTTTGGTTTCACCCTTCTTTCCCCTTATCGATCTGGTCAATGAAAAACCTAACCCAATGCCTAGTCCACTCTGCACGCTACCTAACGAGCTACATACTGTCCAGAGGGGTCTGGTGACAGCGACCCTTAGAAATTAAGATTAGAATTAAGTATTCCCCTTAGAATTAGTGACCCCAGTCTGGCAGTATACAGGCTAATTCCCTACGTCTATTTTTATAATCTAACCCGAGTTTGAGTTTGTCAGGAAAGAGGTGAAATGGAGTTACATAAACACTAACAACTCTACTTGCCGGAACCACAGACCACAACCCAGGAAGAACAGCCGTTAGGTCTTGGAGATTTTGAGTTTGACAGAATCTTTTCAGTAGATTATTGACTTTCTAAAACAGACAACTGACACTAACTAAACTACACACATCAGACTCCATGATGTTTGGGCAACAAAATAATATAACTTCAGTAACAATCGGAAATTCATGGATATCCCCACGGACGACATAAAGATATGCCATTCAGACTGACAAACTCGACACTCACTTACTTGACAAGTTTTACTAACAATAAGGACAGTTGAAGCTTTCAACACCACTCACAATGGATCTTGAATGTTCCAACTGTAAACAGACATATCTAAGTTGCCTCAACAATTGCAACCACATTTGCAATTTCAAATTTTGTCATTATTAAGGAATAATGAAGTCTCGGGTGCATTCTAACATTGAGAGAAAACGGAGGACTCAGGCGCCCTAAAGCAATGAGAAAACGGACTCCTTAGATGGAAAACTCAAAATAAAGAAAGCATAGCTACATGTTTTGTGGGCTATTGAGGGTAATTATGAATCGTCTGATTTTACGTTAACTGACGTGTATGGCCGTGGTCATTACAAAGGGAACCAGTGACGTCACAACCAATCACAGCTTTCCACAGTCACGTGACTCCTTAGCAACTTTAACCCTTATGTTTTACACTTTTTGGCCCAATTTATTTAAAAATATCATTACCATAGTGAATTTAAGCGTTTTCTTTACCCATTGACCTGTCATCTTACGAAAAAATTCCGACCATCAACTCGCCAATTGTGTGAAAATGAGGCAGAAAGTCAGATCAGCAACCTGGGACTTGGTCACAATTTTTGTGATGCCAAATGGCAGCAGGATCTAGCTGTTAAATGTGTGAAAATAGTTCCGAAGACAAGTATCCATTTTTGTTGTGTGGTAAAAACAAGAGGAATTACAACCATTTGAAATTTCATCGTTTTCACAAAGATAAAAAAAGGTACGGTTATTTATATTAATATGTAAGTGTTTTGTGGAAATTAAGTTATATTGTGAGGTATGGGATGTTTGGAGAAAGAAAACTTACAATGTGCGCTCTGTATACATGTTATATTGGATGTACAATGCAGCTTGGTGCTGGGAAGTGGCAGCGTGGTTACAAGCGTGATGTAGAGAGAGCTGGTTGGTGAGGGCGCTCAGAGGAGGACCAGCTTGTGGGTCGCCATGCTCGCCGGCGGGAGCGAGGGCCGCCAGGCAGCGGCGGAGGAGGAGGTGTAGCTTGCTGTAGCTAGAAGAAGAGAGAGGTCACCACGAGGTCAGGTCTTTTATAGCGGAGGTAGGCGTGGGTAGATAGTTGACCTCCGTTCCGTGGGCGGCGCTGGTTGACCTAGACCACGAGGCATATACTGAGGAATTCGCGGGGTCGGCTACTCAGCGACAAACAGCGTTTGTAGGGGGGAAATCCACTACAATATAAAAACATTCAGTGCTGGGTTGATATTCGTTTTAGCACATGTACCTTGCAATGAATGTTTGACTCTCAGTAAACACAATGAAATACACCAGAAAAACCAGCTATCATGCCAAAGTCCAGGTCATATTAATAATTACTCAGTGCTGTACTTAGATAGGTACTCGAAACTACTCTCCGATTGTACTATAAATGATGTTCATTATCGAAAATTTAAACAGATACTTGGAATGACTGCACAAACTAAATATGGCGTATTTGAAGGCTAAAACATTGAAATAGCTCAATCCATCTAAAGTGGTATGTAACATTCACTTTACTCCATGAACAACTTGTTCGCACAGTTGTCCGAGCAGCAAGTATATCATATACAGGCATTTTGCTTATCGCCAATTCCTTTAAAATGTACATGCTATCAGAACTTAAATGAATGAAAATTAGGAAAAAATATTTCCAATAGCATGCTTAAATTATTTATTTTATTATGTAATCGTTTATTGATATGGTGGTCTTTGGATATATATATATATATATATATATATATATATATATATATATATATATATATATATATATATATATATATATATATATATATATAAGTAAATCACTGTAGGTGCGCGTGATCTAGGTATATGCTGATAACCACAAGGAAAGAAGAAAACACGAAGTTCCCAAGCGCTTTCGTGTAATTCACATCTTCAGGGGTGAGTACAGACTAGAGAGAGTAATACAAATCAAGGTGTAGATTATCAAAGAAAATGCATTTTTTTTCACTTTCAAGCATGGTTGCCTGAAACGAATAAGTACAAGTTCGGAAATTTCCGCGTAAATATTGTTATTCACTCGCTCTTGCGGTTGAAAAACGTCTTCTGTAGTGCTCCCCTTCCACAAGGAACCCTTCATACTAAAACACATATTTTCATCTTAAACAATAAAAAATTTATTTGCATAATTTTTGTAACATAGTGCCTAAGAGTACACATCACAATAAATATACATATGCTCCAAAATACATACATAATTATGTATGCATTATAATTATAATGCATAAATATACAGTACATGGGTTTTATCACGCCATATATCCAGCCAAGAGATATCTTGAGTCACCACAGAACAGTTGAGGATAACTGGCATAAAATAGGAAAATATAAGACACATAGACACATTATTGCTCTGTCATGTATAAATCTATAAAGCCAGTATTAGCGCGACATCCCCTAAGCGCGTTAAATACATAACTTGGAGAAATACCAATCTTCTATCGTATACTGTTTGTGAGCTACCAATATCACTGATTCTGTTTCCATATAGAAAATGTTCATAAGTCTTTCTTGTAATCTGCTCAACAATGCAGCTCTGTTAATTCGACTGAAGTTCTCGGGCCATTGTGAGAAGGTGAATCAAGCAACTAATCTAGTAGGTTTTATAAGGTCGTTCAGACATCTAAATGATACGTCCCTCGTAACCTTCTTCATGAGTGAGGTGCTTCCCCGTTTGGGGAATGTCCAAAGGAGGGCCACCAGCCTGGTGCCTGAGCTCAGGCACCTCAGTTACCCAGAAAGATTAGAACGTCTGCAACAGCCTAGCTTATCCAACAGACCTGGAGCTGACGGACGACCGCCCCACTGGGGGCCACAGTTCAAGGTTGAAGAAACAACTAGTCCAGAATATTGTGAACCCTTGGAACACTCTGCCAGAGAGTGTTGTGACAGCACCGAGTGTGAGCTCCTTCAAGACCAGACTTGACCAACACTGGAGCAGGTTCAGATACATTCTGCAATCAGTTCATGCCTAGTACTGTGCAATGTCAACACCGTACTTGTGTCGCAGCAGAAGTTTTCCAGGTTTACGCCGTCTCAAACCACCAGTAATCGGGAGAGTAACTATAAAACCTCTGAAAATCTGTGCCCTAGTAAGTAAGCCATGACCCTGAAATATCCCGAAAGAATAAGCAATATTCTTGCCCATAAATGCACCGAATCCTGTGTATGTAGATATAAACTTAATCGAATAATAAAATCGCTGAGTAAATCAATGATTTTTTCAAAGATGAAAAATCAAGATTTACTGGAATCGTTTGTTAAAGTAGAACAAATAAGTTAGAATATATTTTAGAAGCATATTTGAAGAGGTAAGTGTGTAGTATGGCCGTGTAGTGTGCACGACGAAGAGCAAGATGCTGCTGAAGTATGGTTGAGGGCAACATTGAGAGAAAAGAACCACATAATGCTGTACATGAAGTAATTAACAGACCTTAGTTTGTTAATTGATCAAAAACCACAATAGAAATAGTAAATGAACCAACTTTATAAAAATTGGTTAAGTTATGGAAAAGTTGATGATGATGTAGAAAATTATTGGAGATGATGGGAGGGCTGTGGTGAAACATCTTATACAGTGGGAAGTTCTAGCTTGCTTCCTCACATGCAATTCTTATTTACTTGTAACCAATTTATGAAATATTTATGTGTCTGAAGTACTCTCAGTCTGCTCAATCTAAAAGCAAAAAAAAAAAAAAGCAGCTTTAGTTCGCCTCTAACATTAGGAGAAACTTTTCGAAGCTGACAAATAATGTATCGTCAACTAATGCGTTTAAATGATGTGTTGTGTTGGTTATTTCGACTATTTCCGTCTCCGTACGACAGTTACGGTTATTATAAATCTCATTGTTTGTTAATTATGTACACAGCAACTACCCACCCTCACAGTTCTCATTAAATGGTTTAATTTCCGATACCTTCCCTCAATGTGTTGCACAGTATTGCATGTGCGGGACATGAAAGATTTGCTCAAACATGCATGCCTTAGCTCAAATTTGCGAGAGATTTGTCCAAATTTGTGACACACTTGCTCAGCAATGGCGCAACAGTAAGGAAACTTATCACTTATACTTCTAGCGTTTCTGATCTCCCTTGTGTTCACTGACTACGTAGAACACAGGCGGATCCTGTTGCCCAAGACCGCTGAGAGACCAACTGATGCATGTTGTCCGCTACTGGTGTATGGCTAGACCATCTTGAAAATCTAATAAATATAAAGTTAAATTTTGAAGCATGATTTCTTCATACCATACACACAGCATTTGACAATTATACGCAGTGTGTGTGAGGCGTCATTGTTTGGGATATTTCTGACCAGTGTGCATCAATGTAGCGAAGATCATCTGGCTTCTCTATGTAGGTGGATGCATATGGCTGTAGGCCCGGGTCGGCTTGGTTAGTGTACTGTCGTGTTTAGTTTAAATGAACTGGGAGCAGGTACTGTATACAGTGTGAGTGGCACTAAACAACATAGCGACGATGGCTTAGCATTCACTCTTCAACAGAAAACATTTAACACTAAAATTATATAAGAAAACAATAAGGTTTTTGATAACCAAAGATTTTGAAGACGTTAGAAACTCGGATGACTAATTTGTTAAGCAATGTTCAGAAGAGGAGGGAAGAGCTGAGGTTCTAAGGGCTTCTCGTTGGCGAGGGGCAAGACGCCAGCGTTTACGGCCGGGACAGGATTAACCAGCAGTTCCTCCACCGAGTTGGATGTCGGTGCTGTGACTGGCTGTATGGGTCGAGCAGTAACCAGAGACTGCGAGGTGGAGAGAAGGGGTGGTGGACGTGTTGGAGGTGGAGGTAGAGGCCTTGATGTGGGTGGCCTTGGTGCTGGTGGTGGAGGGGGAGGGGTCATGCCAATGATATTGTTGTCACTGGGGTCTGCCAGTGGCAGAGGAAAGGGTTGCGAAGGCGAAAATGATTGTGGTCGTTGCAGCTGTGGTTGTGGTCGTTGCTGCTGTGGTTGTGGTCGTTGCTGCTGTGGTTGTGGTCGTTGCTGCTGTGGTTGTGGTCGTTGCTGCTGTGGTTGTGGTCGTTGCTGCTGTGGTTGTGGTCGTTGCAGCTGTGGTTGCGGTCGTTGCGGCTGTGGTTGTGGTGGGGGCTGTGGTCGTGGTGGGGGCTGTGGTCGTGGCTGGGGTGGTCGCGGTGGTTTTGACTGGGGATTCAAAATGGAGTTTGGACGCGGTGACCCAAAACCACTGAGGTCAACTGGAGGTCTCGTCTGAGGCTGGACGAACTGCGGGCGGGGTGGCGGTGACTGGAAAAAAAATTGCAATAAAAATTTTATTTTACTCGTACGACAAACATCGCAGGTTCCCCTTATATTCTTACGTGACAGGTTCAACCCTTCATTCTAACATTAGTGTGCAAAGAATAAAGAGGTTAAAACGGTTGCAATCAACAAGTCATCATTATATTAATATTAAGAAATATTTGAAAGTGTAAATTAGTTCCATAAGCTTCATGACCTACGTGTGTGTGTCAGGCACCAAACTACAAGTCATATTCTGAAATAAAGTATTATATAAAAATCTCCAGCATCTTATCAACAAAATATTAACTTGTGTTAACATAGGCTATACTCCATCTATGCCAACAAGTGAAAATACATGATCAGTCATTAATCATTTTCTTTACACAGTATTAAAACATTTATCTTTCGATTTTAAATGAAAAGGGAAAAGCAACCAAGTGCTGTCAAAGCTAAAGGTTCATAAGAGTCCCGGCCCTGACATGATGCATACCAGAGTGCTAAGAGTGGTGTACAACGAGCTTGTTGAAACCCTAAAGATCCTGTTCTGTAATGCCTGGATGAGCAAAAGGTCCCCAGTGATTGGAAAATGGCTTTTGTGAGTCCTATCTTCAAGAAAGGCGGTCGCCACTCGACGAATAACTAAAGACCAGTGAGCCTGACCAGCATAATATGTAAAGTACGTGAGAGCATTATCAGAGATGCCATGATGGAACATCTACTACGAAACAACCTTGTAAAGGATTGTCAACACGGTTTTATGCCGGGTCGCTCCTACTTAACGCAATTACTCAAGGTACTGGATGTTTGGACCCAAATTCTGGAACAGGGTGGTAATATCGACAATTATACCTAGATTTTGCCAAGGCTTTCGACAGTGTACCCCATGAAAGGCTGAAAATTAAACTGGAAGGGTACGGGATTCGGGGAAATGTCCTAGCGTGGATCGGAGACTTTCTCCATGACAGCACGAAATCATTATGTGTACCCGTCACAAGCGGGGTACCACAGGGCAGTGCATTAGGCCCGCTTTGTAAATGACATGCCAGAAGCTGTACACTCCTCCATACAAATGTTTGCGGATGACGCCAAGTTATTTCTGGAAATTAAGAACCATGCAGACTGTGAAGAGCTGCAGAAGGATCTCTGTGAGCTCCAAGAATGGTCGAAGAAATGGCTGCTAAGATTCAATGTCACGAAGTGTAAGAGGATGCATCTGGGACGTACCAACGGTAAGGAGGAGTATCGTATGTCCCAACGGGACGAAGAAACTGCATTAATTGAGATTGAATGTGAATAGGACCAAGGTTAGTATGTTGATAACGCGCTGAAGTTCTCGGGCCATTGTGAGAAGAAGGTGAATAACACAACTAAATTATTAGCTCTTATTAGAAGGTCGTTCAGATATCTAGACGTATCCTAATGATCTTCAAGAGTGAGGTGCTTCCCCCTCTGGAGTACTGTCACCCGGTCTAGTACCCAAGATATGCTAGGGACTGTCCGTTGATTGAAAATGTCCAAAGGAGGGCCACCAGACTGGTGCCTGCACTCAGCTACCCTGAGAGATTAGAGCGCCTGAAATTGCCTAGCTTATACTACAGATGGGCAAGGGAGGACCTAATTGAGGTGTATAAACATCTGAAAGGGCACTACTCAGTCTAGTACCCTTACCTGGAGCTGGCGGACGCTCACCCCACAAGGGGTCACAGCTCAAGGTTGAAGAAGCCGCAAGCCCAGAAAACTTTGAGGGGTATCTTTTTCGGAGTGAGACTTGTGAACTCTGGAACAATCTGCCAGACTTGACAAGCACTGGAGTAGGTTCAGATACACTCAGGAGCCGGTGCATCCCCAGTAATTGCCAACAGTGCGTAACAGAGACGTGACCGATCGCCCAAGCGGCTAACGAGTCGATCAGTGGTGAAGAGGACGAGAAAAAAAATAAAATAAAAAATACTTTAGCCTACTAGCCAATCATATTGACGTTAATTTCTCAATTTTGTCGTGTTGGCAGGTGCTGAGCACACAGGCAGGATCTTCTCAGCATCTCAAAATACATCTTATGTAATATTGTCACCAGCCTAAGACAGTTCTGGTGGTTTTGACAATCTGTCCAACGAACTCTTCTCTCGCTCTGCCCGGTCCCACTTGAATGTACAGAAGCTAAAACAATTATCTGTGCAGGTGGGGGTCAATATGCTCCGAAATTTTACGGGTGACCAGTGACAGTCCTCATATACCAAAATTTATCGTCCATGGTCTCATATTGTTTCCCACAAAGTATGCACAGACTGTTGTTTTAGCTTAGCACAGTACAGTACGCACACCTGGGGTGCTGGTGGTAGAGTGGTACCGCTCTTGCCTTCGCAAGCGAGATGTCACGGGTTCGATTCCCGGGCCGGTGGAAGTTGTTTGGACACACTTCCTAGCCCCCATTAGTCCCTGTTCACCTAGCAGTAAAGTAGGTACCTGTTGTAAGTCGAAAGTTGCGAATTCGTATTCAGGGACAAGTTGTTGGAGCTTCCAATAACTTGATGACACAAACCATTGACTCTTCAGGTTTCTATGCCCTTGACTCTTCAGGCTTCTTCGCCCTTAACTCATGAGACATAAAGGCAAGCATGAAATTAGCATGCTTCCCTGTTGGGCATTGTAAACGCTTCTGCGCTTCACCTTACACAAGGATGTAGGGGAGTGCCCAATAAAAAAAAAAAAAAAAAAGTACGCACACAATTTCAGGTACATTCAAGAGCCCACACAAACCCAATACAGTACCTGGCAACCGTGGGAAACATAAATTAGTGACCGTCCGACCATTTAGTACACTGACAGGCCTTAAATCTATATTTCGCTAATGTAAGTGACAGGGAATTTAACAATCTACACAAGTACACCATGTTATATTTCGTTTTCTATAAGTTCGGCTTCTCTTTTTTTTGTGGGGGACTTTAGCAAGCGATATTTCTCGTGATGCTTTCTGTTTCCTTCCTCTATTTTCCCCATTTCATTATTTCATCTTTACATCCCCTTCCTTCCTACCCTCCCTCTTCCCAACTCATTTCTTCATCCCTTACAATACGTCCTTCTGTTCCCTACTATCCCTCTCCCTTCCTCTTCCCTACCCACTCCTACTTTTCCCCCCATCCCCCTCCACTCCCTATCCTTCTCCATCCAATTCTCCATCTTTCCTCTCTCCTTTTCTCCGTATGCAATAACTCACGGGTCTGGTAACGGGTGGTGGAGAGAATATAAGGTTCTGCTGTGGCGGAGGTGGAGGTGGCTGTGGTCTGAACACCTGTGGGGGAAGAGAAGGAAACACCGGCCGCTGACTCTGTTGGAGGTGAGAAGGAGGTTAATCTGGTGCACTGGAAGGGGGTGGGGTGGGGAGGGGTGAGGGTGAAGCAGAAGAGGAAGGTAAGGGTCGAGGGGAAATGGAGAAGAGAGAGAAAATAGGAGTGTAAGAGGTGGAGGAGAAAGGGGGAGTAGAGGGCAAAAGGAAAGGGAAAATGGGTGTGTGGGGGAAGGAAGAGGTAGAATTGGAGGGGAGGGAGAGGTGGAGGTGAAGGGAAAGGAGAGACAAGTAGGGGATGGAGGGTGGTGGGAGTGTAGGGGATGGAGGGTGGGGGTTAAGTGTGGGGGGAGGCTGTAGGAGGAGGGAAAGAGTGAGTGTGTGTAACAGCAAGACTCCTAATCACAACTAAACCTTCACTTATAACTACACACCAACACTTTAACTAAACACTACTGTAAATACCTACAGTAACTTAAATTTCCTCTATCATAAACAAATGGAAAATAATCAAATATAATACAAAAAAAAATACTTCAAATACATGTAATGGTAAATATTTTATTCATGACAATTCTCCTAAACTTATCGAAAAAAAAAAAAACGAATTACCAAACCTATCAATTAATTATCTACTAAAATAATACTTAACTAACAGACAATAGAGAAAAATTAATTAGTATATAATTTTTTAAACCTATTTAGTTTATTTAGTCATTATATGATTAACCTGACTTGGAATGCAATTTACTACTTCACTAGTCTTGTTAAGTCAACCATGCTTTTGTTAACATTGAAAACATTATCTATGTTAATTTTTTCATCAACAAACTAAAAATTGGCTATAATTTTTTTTCTAGTATAAACTAATGAGGTTCAGATTTTTTTTTTACAACAATGCAAAAGAAACCGTAGACTGAGTAAGGGTAGACTAACGTAAACTGCAAGAACCTAAACTGAAGTAAAGAAAAATAGATTAAACGTAGACTGACAGAGACCAGATGTAGGATGAAGCAGACTGAACGCAAAGTGAACTCAACAAAAGGTAGACTGAAACAAACTGAATGTAAACTGAAGCAAGACTGAACGGAGACTGGTGTAGACTAAAGCCAGCTTAAGTGGTATACTTCACCTGCAAGGCGGAGCGACTCGGTAAACTAGGCAAGCCACACCTGTTGATTGTATACTCAAGCAAAGGACATGTGTCAGTTGCAGGTGTGTACTCAAGTGGATGACAGGTATTACACAATCAAGGATGTACTTAAGTGGATGACAGGTGCTACACAGTCAAGGGTGAACTTAAGTGGATAACAGGTGCTACACAATCAAGGGTTGTACTTAAGTGGATGACAGGTGTTATACAATCAAAGGGGTACTCAAGTGGATGACAGGTGTTACACAATCAGGGGTGTACTAAAGTGGATGACAGGTGTTACATACAAGGGTGTACTTAAGTGGATGAGAAGCGTTGAAATGAAGTGTACTTAAAATAGGTGATATTTACAGAACCGAGTAGGTCGTAGGATTTTTGGTGTCATTTCTCTACGTATGATTCGTCCACGAGTCTTCGGTCGCAATTCGTAAAAAAATTCGTGTTTCGTGAATCATGAGTCGAGCGTCATTTAAAGAATCGTAAGGTCATGAATCGCAGGTCCCACGTCACTTGAAGATTCACAGCTCACGTCAGTTGGAGAATCACAGGTCATGAATCACGTCTTTCCACGCGGTATGGACGTCATGGATCAAACATCAAGCGTCAGTGATGGGAAAAGTGAGTCAAATTACGTGAGTCAAGAGTAGCGGAGGCAGAAGGTTGACCAAGTGTTAGTATCGACACCCACCGGTCCAGCTCGCCTTACTACAGCAGCATAATGGCAACCGCTGAAGGGGCAGTTCAGGGGTTTGGTGCCTATTGAGTGTGTGGATAATGGAGACGTTTATAGAGAATGTTTAAGAGTCTAAAAATCAGTATGCTATGTCAACTTTGAACTCCGTAGTTGACCAGATTTAAGATTTTTTTTTCAGATTTGCTCCACTCAGGGCGGAGGTTAATCCCATAAAAACACTGTTCAGGGGTTCAAAGTTCGGCTTGGTGGCTTGGCAGTGATTTATGGGCCCAAAGACAAGCACTGTAAACATCCCCTATACACACACACAGGCTTTAAAATCATACCGTGCCAACTTTGAAGCAGCTGTGATTATTGTCCTGTTAAAAAACTCTGTCAGCCAGTCTTGACAACAAACACAATGACGTCAACAGGTGATGAAAGACAAGCACAGCAGTGAGAACATATAATCGCAAGCATAGTTGTGAGGACGAGTTACGACAAGCACAGTGACGTCACCAAGTGTTGCGTCGTAGGCAGCGTCGGGCGGGTGTTGGGACATACACCATGGAAGGTGAGGACAGGTAAGTATAATACTAAACCATTAAAACATATTGGGTTCTCTTGAGATAATATTAGTTGTATTGTTAAGTTGATACACAAGTTCCACCTGAGATTAATCACCTATAGTTGACCAATTAACTAGGCTCCACCGCCTTTAGCCGTCCTGAACCTTCATAATTTGTAGAAGTTGACTGTTTGATACGTTATTGAGTTACGTCGCTATATTGGCCAATTTGCCGGCATGATTCACTTAGTAATTAGTAGTCAATTAACTTCTATGAGTAATGGCGGTTGCTGGGAACGCTAACAGAGAGGGGAGATTAGGTGACCCGTCAACTGTATAGATTGAGGTCAAGTGTGGTAAAAAAGTTTAACCTTCCCTGACGCTGCCGACACGCACCCGGAGAATCTTGCGACTAAAACTGGCGAGTATCACCGAGCTGGGGCTAAACTTATTGTAAATCAAAGCAGAAGAAACCAAGCACTGCGCTCCGTTAATCAAAAGCTGAGAAAATATCTAAAAAAAATGTGTATAGTCCAGGCGGATAAATAAACACCTGTATGTTTCCAACTTCGGGCCTCAATAACTGACACCGTCGAAATCGTCTTTTTGGGAAGCAGATCATGAGTGGCTGTGGAGGAAGATAGGGTGCTTGTCACTGCCTGCCACGTATCCCAGGACACTTCATTCTCAAAGATTCGTACGTTAATGTTCTCCCCGTAACAGAGGATGACAAGCCCTTCTAGATGTACTACAGTCTCACAGCTACTACGACTTAGGGAGAACTTTAAGTACGAATCTCTGTGAACCCAGGCCAAGAACCTGCTTAGTTCCCTGTGTAATGTGGTTAATAGACCTTAACAAGATTACAAACAATATAATGTGTGTACAGTAAATTAATATGCAGTATATGATTACTCAAGACAACACAAACACATATACCAACGAAAACATTATTAAACAACACACAGAAGCCACCCAGCCGTCATACATCAAGGGACAAGATTCTCAATGATTCGGAATATGAGATGTCATCTTAACTGTTGTCGGGGAACACAGCAAATTACGGTATTGTCTAAGAGCTATTCTAGCCACATTTTAGTCTCCCATAATTATATATGGAAAGAAAGTAAGGTAGTTAGGTAATTCTCCAATACCCCAGTAAGGTAAAAAACAGGTAATAACGTATAAGAATCTTTGACAATCTGTACCATAAGTTATTGTAGCCCAGTTCTCGCCTCCACACACACACACACACACACACACCCCACATCTACAACACCCACCTGTTGGGTGAGGAACTGGGGGCCGGGGCCGAGAATCGGAGGGCGAGGGCGTGGACGCAGACGAGTGCGTGGTCGAGTGAGGGCAAATAAAGGCCTAAAGGCGCCGAAGAGGATCTCTGGAGGTGAAGGCAGCGGCGGGAGCCTGAACTGTGCGTCGACTTGAGACGCCACAACCACCACCACCATCACCGTCAACCACACCTGCCGGAGACATAATGATGTTTATACAAGAAACATATTATGACAAAAAACAAATATCTACAACAATAATAATAGTACAAATAATAATAATAGTAGCAGTAGTATTGCAATAATAATAATAATAATAATAATATTAACAATAATAATAATAATAATAATAATAAAAATAATAATAATTATTATAATTAACAACAACAACAACAATAATAATAATAATAACAATACAAATAGTAGAACGATTTCAAGACCGCGTACATAACAGGAAAGGTAAATGGGTGGGTGAAAGAAAGCCAAGCTCTGTTGGATATTGCTAAAACGGAGCCACAGGCGGCTTTTGTGGCATTCACCCTTAGAGTCAAACATCGCTGGAATTACCTGATGCGCACTATAGGACCCCCTCCCCCCCACCCTCTGGAAGAAGCCATCAGGGTCACTTTTATTTCAACACTAGTGAAAAGCTATTATTTAACCCCAGCAGAAAGGTCACTCCTTGCGCTACCACGGAGACTGGGAGGAATGGAATTGACTAATCCAGGGAGCTTACTGCCACGGAACATCAGAGCTCTCAAGCTCACAGCAGCCCTCACTGATCACATAGTAGCTCAACAAGTGATCATGGGCCCTTCGTGCCCGGTGAAAGTTTGAATGCTCGTGCTTGGCTAGCATACAGCGAATGAGGGTGCGCCAAGTCCGTAGACTTGCATCGTTTTCCATCGTAAATAAAATGGTTAATTAGTGCCTTCCTAAAGAAACCATCGACATGGGACCAGGTTTGTTCCACTCTACGATTTTTTTTGCGATTTTTCCACCAAGTTTAATGAAAAACGATTGTGCCGTTTCGGCTACCCAGAACAGACACACAGACAGACAGACAGACAGACAGACAGACAGACAGACACACGGCTATTCCTATAGTATATTAGAAGCGCAGCAAGTGAGGTAGACACCAACGAGTCAAACAAGATTCGACGTTCCATTACGACAAAACGGCAGCACACCCAAAGTGATAAAATTCAACAACTGGTGCAGCAGTTGTCAGAGAACTTGAAGAAAAAAGTAGCTATAGCGCAGGAGGTGGGCGCTTCGAACTAGCTAACAACTTTACAGATAAGGGCAAAAGGCTTCAGCCTTAACAAACAAGAATTTGCAGTTGCCATTGCTCTGAGGTATGGTTGGCCAGTAGAAGGTTTGCCTTCCCAATGCGTATGTGGCTCATCCTACGACACTGACCACTCCATGGTGTGCAAGAAAGGGGGCTTAGTGTGCATGAGGCATGACGAAATAAGGGATCTCACAGCAAATATGGTGAAGGAAATCTGCCACGACGTCATGGTGGAACCGACCCTCCTTCCATTGGACAGTGAGACTCTCCATCACAGGACCTCAAACACATCCAAGGAAGCCTGTGTGGACGTCAGTGCCCTAGGATTCTGGACACGGGGACAGTGAGCCTTGACATAAGTATATAATCGCCTCCATGGCCGCATGTCACCGTAACCTTTCTTTCGAAGCTGCACACAAGAGGAATGAGAACGACAAGAACAGGACGTGTGGGGAGAGAATTCAAAATGTGGTGTTCACAACCTCTGGAGGTATGGGACCAAGTGTAAGACGCTTCTAAGCAAAACTGGCGGAGGTGTCTGAACAGAAGCAGAAGCCCAGAATTTACGTTGCAGCCTGCATTGAGATGTCGACTGTCCTTCTCTCTGCTTAGGTCTGCATTGCTTTGCCTCAGGGGAACGAGATCATCGGCCCCAAAGCCGACAACAGTCGCAGATATTGACTATGAGGCAACAGTCACTGAATGCCGCATAGATCTGCGGCTTAACTAACACAGCTAGGGTAGTTACTTTTGTATTAGGATATTTAATATTAGTGTATTAAAATGGTGGCGGAGGTGTGGCTATTGGGGAAGACTGGAGGCTACGATTTATAAAAAAAGGTAGTCGTGGTAGTAGCTTAACTAACTCAATACAGCTAGAGTAGCTACTTTTGTATTAGGATATTTGTTTTTAAGGTAATAAAATGGAGGCGAAGGTGTGGCTATTGGGGGATGCTGGATCCCACGTTAAAAAAGTAGTAGCAGCAGCAGTAGTAGTAGTAGTAGTAGCAGTAGCTTTATAATAGTGCAGTATAGTTGCGACAATACGGCCCAAAGTCGCATTTCAGCATCGACCACTCCATTGAAGCACCGCCAGCACAGGTCAGTCAGCCAGCCAACTCGACCAACAGGTGAATGTATCACCTTGGTGGCTCACCTAAGACGGCCACCTGCTAGAAACAGGTTTTATTGCGGGCCCATGCGGGTTACAACTGGTATTTTAAACAGGCTTAAGGAGGTTTATATTCCTGTAATCAGAGTTAAGCTAGTGTGAAATGGCTGCAAGATTAGATGGCAAAAGATATGGGTTTGAGAGAGAGAGAGAGAGAGAGAGAGAGAGAGAGAGAGAGTGTGTGTGTGTTTGTGTGTGTTATTAACAAAACAACACTTTAAGAATAAGCTACACAGACAGGAAAACAAATGAAGAAGTAATAAGTTTAGCAAAAACTTCAAGAGAAATATTTGAAATGTACAGAAAAAGACACATTTGATCATTTGGCCATACGAGTATAATTAGAGATGAAAGGATAATAACAGAAATAATAATGGGGAAGTCGAGGGTAGGAGGGCCAGGGAAGGCAGAGACTGGGATTGATAAATTAAATTAAAAATTGGGTCCCAGAGAGATACAAAACCTTAGAGGATTGGTAAAAACAGCTAGAGAACGTTTATAGTGGAGGACTGTGGCTACCAACCCTCAAATAGGACGGTATTCTGATTGATTGCTAGAATACCCATATAATTCTCACCTCTACTTTCCACCACACGTTATACACTTACAAGCATCATTAACCTCCATTTCCTTATTTTCCCTTAACTACCCATCCCATGAAAACCCCCATCAACCTAACTTTACCTAATAATGATTCAGATAAGTAAAATTAATAATAAAAAAATAAAAAAATATAAATAATAAAATAATATTGATAACAATAATAATAATAATAATAATAATAATAACAACACTGCAATAATAATAATAATAATAATAATAATAATAATAATAATAATAATAATAATAATAATAATAATAATAATAACAATAATAATAATAATAATAATAATAATAATAATAATAATAATAATAATAATAATAATAATAATATTAATAATAATAATAAAGAAATACAAAAATGAAAAAAAATATCAATAGTGAGAAACAATACATGTATGTTGTGTTGTCAATGGTATGAGAAACAATTGAGACCCTGCAATTATGTGTAAATGAGGCAGAGAGTCAGATCAGCAACCTGGGACTTGGTCACAATTTTCGTGATGCCATATGGCAGCAGGGTCTACCATTAGACAATACATTATGCTTCCCAGGCGGTAGTACCTCCCTGTTTGGTAACTGTCTACTACCTACTGTTTGTTGTAGAACATAAGAGTGAGGCACCACACAACTCTACTTGCTACAGTTGCACTAAGCTGACTCGCGCGAAAACATAAACAACTATAAGCTGACCTGCCTAAGGGCAAGGTCGTGCAGGGCGGGTGGCAGTTCTACCCCCAACCTTCACCTAACACCTCCAATCAAAGGTCGCTCCTGGGGGTGAGATAAGGGGGTAAGGGAGGTTGGGAGAGGGTATAAGGAAGGGTGGTGGGTGAAGGATGGGGGGGGAGGTGAGGAGGGGGTGAGGGAGGTGAGGGAGGCTGGGGGAGGGTATAAGGAAAGGTGATGGGTAAAGGATGGGGGTGAGGGAGGGTATAAGAAAGGGTGGTGGGTGGGGGAGGGTATAAGGAAGGGTGGTGGGTGGGGAAGGGTATAAGGAAGGGTGTTGAGTGAAGGAGGGGAAGAGGGAGGATTATGGTACTATAGGGAAAAGTGAAGACCTTCAAAGACTCCCACCAGATAACGACAACACCCATACATGGTTCCCAAAAAGTTACCATGTCTCAAAAGGTCCATTACCACCCCCGACCTACACGGCCAGGCAATAGACAACCTCCCTAGACCAGCATCCGCCGGTAGGGTCGGCGGAATATGAAATAAGGCCCTTAAAACACTCATATATGGGACAGGGTAGGAGGTCTAGTGCCTGTACCGACAGACAATAACTAACCCATAACACAACCCTAACACACTATTAGCTTAGCTAGGTGGTCAGCCAGCCCTCTCTTACCTCCTCCTAAATTTCTTCAATTTCCGAACTAAAACTTCCTTCCCCCACCTCTAATCTTCTTTCACCCCTCCTTTCTTTACAAAAAAAATGATGTAACAGATGGTTATTTTTTTACGGAACAATGAAGTTGGTGTGTGAGATGGAGCAGTGTGTGTGTGTGTGTGTGTGTGTAGGTCATGGCTATAGTAGTCCTGTTAATACTATCACTCCTATCACTACGACCACTACTACTGCAGCTCATAGTACCCCTAAATTCCTACCCCCCCTCATGCATCACTACCACCATCACCTGCACCTCTTACTACCACAACAATCAAATAAATCAGGTCAGAGGTCGAGCTCAACGACTGTGTCCTTGAGGAGGTAAGAGGCAACTAACAATAAACAGAACCAAGTAATAAAGATAATAACAGTGAAGACGAGGACGAGGAGCACGCGAAACACGAATAATAATGGAACATAATGGAGCGCTAATACAGGAGGTTAATGGCATCTTCTCTATTAAAGTCGGGTTACATTAAAGGCTTTATATACTCCTTCCAGAACAAAGATTGAGTGGAAGACTGACACAGGAAAACACAAGATAATGACGGTAATGAAGGCAACACCACGAGGCATAATACTGTGGTTGGGGAGAATGAAGTTTAGTCATTATGTGAGCAAGATAACAGAGCTGAGAAGAATGCAAAGGTGTAGTTGGCGAATTAGGTTAGTTTAGGTATAGTTAGGTTAAATTAGGTAAGATATACGTTTAATATGATTAGCTTAGCGTTAGG